CAGCTTTGGCAACTTGATATCAGTGCATTCTCGCAAGACAGCTTTGGCAACTTGATGTCAGTGCAGTAAGCACAGGTCAGCTAAGTAGCACAGGTCATAGCGCAGGTCAAGTAAGCGCCGCTATGAAGCGGCCAGCATCGGCGCAATGGCAGCGCCCGCCGAGGGCAAAGCCAAAGCCGGCACAAGGTCCGCCGCGTTGTGTGTGGGTCCACGAGTCGAACGCTGCCGAAATGAGTGCGACACTGGGTGGTCAGGTGCTTGCAGGCCCTGCCCCTCAAGGCTTGGAAGAGATGGTGTCGATCGCGTTCGAGTACTGGAGCTGGATTGCTGATGCGGCTGAGGAGTGCGACGCTGGGGCTGCTGGCAGTGGCCAGACTGGAGGTGGCTCAGCTGGCAGCGCTGCTGGAAGTGGCGATCCTGGCAGCGCTGCTGGCGACGGCGGCGGTGGCGGTGGGTCAGCCGACGGCGGCGGCGGGTCTACTAAGGGCGCTGGCGGTGGATCAGCTAAGGCTGGCGGTGGATCTGCAAAGGGCGATGGTGGTGGATCGGCTAAGCCCGAGGGCGACGGCGGTGGATCTGCACAGGGCGTTTCGTCAAAAGCGGGCGCCGCCGGAGGTGCCAAGGCCAAGGCGGGCGCTGGTGGTGGCTCTGGCGGTGGCGGCCGCAGGCGACAACCGGCGGCAGCGGCGGAGCAGCGGCAGCGACAGGGACGGCGATCAGCCTGGCGATGATGAGAATCTGAAGTAGATCCTGCTGGTATTACGCGCACATGTTGGGCCCTGCCCCTCACTAACAGTGGATTATGGAAATGTAGATCACCTACCACTAAAAATGGTCTTCCCAGTTGCGGTGACTGTTGGTCTGTTTGGGGGCAGGGCCACGCAAAAAGACACAGCAAGGCCTGTGCCGGGAGCGCTGAAACACATCAGTCCGCGCGCGAGACCTGGAGTTCTAAGAACAATGTTGAACCGGCCTCCAACAGTAGACTGTTGCTTTTCACTTCTTAATTTTAAATTCGATGAAGATTGAAATGCTGAAAAAGCATTCAATTCCTGAAGAAGGAGAGCTGGAAGACAGTAGTTGGATGTTGGCAGCGACCGACATTGCAATCTTGGCTCTTGCCTCACACTTCAGGCTTTCTGCCAGTGGCGCTGCGGCGCTGCTGCTGCTGCTGCTGTGGCGCAGGCCTGGCAAAGCCTTCGGGTTTGAGGTTTTATTGACGAAACAAACACTCTGCTGGACAAGCAGAGCGCGCGGTCTTGCTGAAAAAGCAATTGCTGGCTGACAAAGCAAATGTTCTACATTGTCACTTGGTTGCTGAAGAAGCAATGCCCACGGTTTGCTGAAAAAGCAAGGCCTAGCGTCCTTGCTGAAGAAGCAATGCGTTTGCCGCCCTTGTTGAGTAAGCAAAGCATTCAAACATGTTTATCCCCTTTTGGGTTTGCTGAAGAAGCAAGGCCTAATTTCCGTGCTGAAAAAGCAAGGCCGTATGTCCTCCTCGCTGAATAAGCAAGGCGGGAATATTTATCACTTTCGGTCAGAAACTTCCTTGCTGAATAAGCAAGATCTACATCCTTGCTGAATAAGCAAGGCTTCCGTCCTTGCTGAATAAGCAAGGGGGAAATGTTTGTTACTGTTGGTCAGCAACATCCTTGCTGAGTAAGCAAGATCAACATCCTTGCTGAATAAGCAAGGCTTCCGTCCTTGCTGAATAAGCAAGGGGGAAATGTTTGTTATTGTTGGTCAGCAACATCCTTGCTGAGTAAGCAAGATCAACATCCTTGCTGAATAAGCAAGGCTTCCGTCCTTGCTGAATAAGCAAGGGGGAAATGTTTGATACTGTTGGTCAGCAACATCTTTGCTGAGTAAGCCAGATCAACATCCTTGCTGAATAAGCAAGGCTTCCGTCCTTGCTGAATAATAAGGGGGAACTGTTTGTTACTGTTGGTCAGCAACATCCTTGCTGAGTAAGCAAGATCAACATCCTTGCTGAATAAGCAAGGCCTAACGTCCTTGTTGAATAAGCAAAGGGGAAACAGTTTGTTACTGTTGGTCAGCAACATCCTTGCTGAGTAAGCAAGGTCAACATCCTTGCTGAATAAGCAAGGCTTAACGTTCCTGTTGAATAAGCAAAGGGGAAGCAGTTTGTTACTGTTAATCAACATCCTTGCTGAGTAAGCAAGATCAACATCCTTGCTGAATAAGCAAGATGCAAGAGCGCAGGTTTTGTGAAAAAGCCTGGGTTACGTGCTGCAAAAGCAACACCTGCCAGAATTGAGTGCGTTGTTTGCCATTTTGAACTACCTCCCTTCGTTTGGAGTTGGGAGTGTGCGCGCAGGCAGGCTTGACTGAACGCATTGCCAGTCGTTTCTGAGGTTTAGCACTGCTGAATAAGCAGTTGTGATTCTTGCTGAAAAAGCAAGCGAATGGAACTTGTGCGTTGTCGCCGAGTGATCTTGCTGAGCAAGCAAGCATCTGCCGGATAGGCATCCACTGCATGACAGGTAGCATCGATGATGCCGGAGAGGCAGTCCTCTTATTATGACGAAAGATTAGACTGGTTCCCCCCGTTCAAGAGTAAGTAAGTGCTTGCCCCGTCAGCGTCGGCCCCGTTTGTGTGGACAAAGCGCAAGTGTTCATGCTGAATACTGAGCAACTAGTTGAGAAGCAAGAGACAGAGACAACATTCAGTTCGCAGCCACGCTTTGAAGTTCTCAAGGGATAGGCAAGTTGGCTGGGTTTATTGCCTCCAATGCCCTCTCGCCGACAACGAAGGCCATGCCCTTATGTTGTGATGAACATCTACACGACCCCAGCCTTGGAAGATAGATGCCGGACATGTAGCGAATCAGAAACTTGGCAAGTGTTGGGGTTGTTCATTGATGTTTGTGGAGCTCTGGGGTGAAGTTCAAATCGACAAACAACTAAGGATTGGGCATCTGCACGAAAGTTGGCCGAAGATATACGCCGATTCTTGAAGGAGCACCGTGCTGCGAGTTGCGTCGTGTCCAGCCCGCCTTCTGAGCAGTCCCTGCCAAAGCAAACGCCTGGTGGCCTGAGGCGTGGCAATGCATTTTTGGAAGAGCCAGACAATTGATTCAAAGTGAACGGAACCTGCTTCGGAAGTCAATCGCAGCTGCGCTAGACATGCTCAACTTTGGATCAAGACGAATGGCCATTTGTCTCGTTTCATGTGGAGTAGTGCGTGAGTTTTACCGCGCTCAGCCAATGTAATTAGATGCTCATCAGGGTCAGACCGCAATGTCAAAAGCCGTTGCGCAGTCCGTGTCATTTCGACCCCGCTGCCTGGACATTTGCGCAGCACAGTGTCGCAATCTACGGCCGTGCGCTGCAGCCATTATTTAGGCAAGTAGGCAGCAGCGTTTGTTAAATCACAGACTTGCACATCCGAGCAGGTATTTTCCAACGCACACACCCAGAACACAGGACACCGCAGGACAACACAGGACACCCAGACACAGGCTTACAGGGCACTCGCAGCAGGGCTCCGCCGCCATGATCCCCGGCTTTGGCCGCGTTGCTCGGCCATTGGCGGGCAGAGCGCCCCCGACACCACCGGGCAAGCTTGAGGCAGTGTGTGATGCGGTCACTGCGTGCAGCCAAGGCGAGGCTGACTCTGGGGAATTAAAATTAGACGACTCCATCGCGCACGTGAAGAGCTGCAAGAATGCTCGGTGCTTCAGATGCTGCTACCTCCGGAATAGAGAGTCGTGGGAAGAAGCCACTCGTCTTCGTTTACATGGGAAAGCCTTGGCTGTGTCCTGGTTGACGCAGTGTCGCAGTGAGGACGACATTTGGGGCATTGGGTGCTGGGTCTGCAAAAAGGCTGGCAAGTGCTGCAAGTACGCTGCTGGCGCCGTCCGGTCTGGGAACCTGAAGAACATTCAGACTCACACTGCCTCTGTTTCTCATCAGCTCTCGCTTGACAGCCTTGGCATGGACAGCGACGTCCCTGACTTGAATCTCGCGCCTGCGGCAGGCGACTTTGCAAAGGTGCTGAAGCACCGGCAAGCTGGGAACAGTTTGAGCCAAGGCATTCTGGGGATCGGCGGTCGATTCAAACTAAGTCAAATGCAGTGGGCTTTGGCAGAAGCTGCGAGGGCGGAAACCCGGAAAATCCTATCCGAATCTGTGACTGTTTGTATTGGGCAGGATTGCCGCAAGGCAGAGTTACTCATGCGGTACACGGCGTGCGACAAGGCTCTGTCTGTGCGCCGCGGCATGGTCGGGTCGCTGCCTGTGGAAGGCGGAGAAACAATCACCAACACCCTGAAGACCATGGAGAAGATACTCATGCACGTCTTTGACGGCGATCAGGCTGCAATGAAGAACTTCGCCAAGAAAGTCTCCATCTTTGTGGCTGACGCTGCAAGCAGTGAGCAAGGGTCTGGAAGAGAAGCCGGCCGCGCGCTGTTTCCAAACCTGCTGACAATTCAGCGCGACCGGAGCCACGCTGCGACACGGGTCTTCAAACGGCCATGGGAGGCTGACTCTGAAATTTCTGGGCTGCTGCAAACATTTGTCTTCGACAAAACTTGCATATGCCGCAAGATTGAGAATTCACCTGTTCTACAGGGGGTGTTCGCGAGGTATGTGCAGCAGCAAGGTGGCAATGTGGCATCCAGCCGGAAAAGCTTTGCAGGCTGCAAAGCATCGTTTTGCCAGTTACAGCCAGCCGCTTGGCAGACTGATCTTACATTGGGATGCCGTGCTGAGCACCCTGATTTGGGTTTCGGCAAACCGCGATGGGGACGAAGCCAAACAAGCAACTGACTTCCTTGCTGAGTTGTCAGAGGAGCGCCTTGTTCTTCTCTCGATGGCAGCTGACGTCAGCGAGACAGCCTTTGAGGTCTCGGCTTTCCTCTCAAGACTCCACCACCTGGTCAATGAGGCCTGGCGCTAAATAAGGCTGTGGCTTTTTGAGGGTTTGCTTACTTTTACTGCAGGGTGGCATCCTGCAGCAGGGCTTCACTCTCCACATGCTCCGCCAGCTCGACAAGCAAACAGCCTTCATGGCCAAGGGTGTGCCCAAGGTCCTGGGCGGCCCACAGCGAGTGTCGTCAGAGATGCTCCTGCAGATGGTTCAGCGGCTTCAGGTCTTCGTCGCCCTGGCAGTGGACACTGTCAAGGCAGAGTTTCCTGGCCATGACATTGTGATGGCGTTCAACGCCTTTGATGTTTCAAAGGCCCACACAAATCGCCGGCTGGCAAGCAGAGAGAACCACCAGGAAAACGCCAAGACAAGTTTGGAGCGCATCGCCAATGTTCTGTTTTTGCCTGCCCAGACGCTGCACGACCAATACCTGGACATCCTGCCAATCGCTCTCCATGAGGCAGCTACTTCTGGCAGGAGTCCGTTCGAGTCGTGGCGCAACGCCGTGCTGCGGGCACGTAAGGGGAAGGGCAGTGGTCATCCCACAGACGTTCTAGGCCAGGCGCTGGCCTACTATGGGGCTTGGAATGGCCTGACTACCTCGGGGGTGGAGCAGGGGTTCTCCAAGATCGAGCGTCTGATCCCCAAAGACCGGCGGCTCATGGCAGAAGCAACCAAGGACACCGAGCTGAGGCTGCTGTTCCATGCGGAGGACCCGGACGCGCTATGCAAACAAGCAGTGCAGGTGTGGCTGCAGAATTTTGGAGCACCTCGCTCATCTGCGCTGGACAGGATTGACAAAGGAGTCCCTCGCAAGCGACCAGTCGATGACGACGAGGAAGCAGACGGAAAAAATGAGATCGGGTTCAGGCGGCCAGGCGGCAGTTGCAGTTTAGTCAGTTTTGCTTTGATTTGAGGCTGTTCGGCTTGTCGGGTTTAAGTTTGTGCGGCGGTGGTGGCTGAGGCAAAAGCGACGTTCTGTCGTTGGCAAGCGAGCCGCCCTGGTCTGTGCAGATGAGGTGCAGCACGCTGCACAGCAAGGAAGCGAGGGGCTGTGGGACGCAAGCCTCCTGGCCGAGCAGTCTTTTCAGCAAAGCAAGCAGTACAAGTGCCGTGTCCAGTCCCTGCTGGAAGGAGCGCTGCTTGAAGGCGAGATCGACGATGACCTGCTGGAGGTCACCCAAGCCTTCCAAGCCAACGTTGCCAAGAACAACCGTGACCGTGTCACCAAGGAAAGGCAGCGAGCAAGTTTAATTCGCCCGGCCATGGTCAAAAACCTCCAGACAAGCACCTTCTGGCTCGAGAACGCTGAGCTGGCGAAGCTTGACTGTGCCAATCCTGCGCTTGTCCGTGCGCGCCCCGAGGAAGCTGACAACTTCATCGTGTTGAACCCAGCCAACCCGCCAGAAGCAGTGCTGTGGACAGCCGCCTTGCAAGGGGGGTATGTCGCCAACGATATGTACTTCATGACTGGCGGCGCCCAGGGCATCGCCTTTGACTTTTTTCCTGCGACCGCAGTCAAGAGAAGCGTGTTCATCAGCCACTGCTTTGTCCGGGAAGAACCTGATCTTGCACGCATTCTGCGGTGCGCGTGCGGGCGTGTCTTGTCACGCTGGGCCTTGCTGACTTCCGTAGAGGACTTTGTCCACATGACCACCAGGGCCGCCGGCCCCCAGGTCAAGAACCCGAAGCGCTATGCTGTGATAGCTGTCATGAGCGAGCAAGCTGCAATCCGGGCAGCTGAGCACAATGTGTTTGGCAAACAAGGGCTTTTGCAGTTCGTTGCGAAACAGGCCTGCGTTGCCAAGGGGATTTGCGGAATGTAACAGCCTGTGCCGGCAAACGCCGGCAAGGCTGGCATTCCATGGGATGGTGCTGAGCACCTTTTGAGCAGAATCAGCCAAGGGCGAGTAACAACACGTTACAGGCACAGCCAGGACCGGGGCCAGGTGAAAAGAAAACTTTGCACAGGCAGGAGTGTGACAAAACGCCTGTTGACAAAACGCCTGTTGGAGCTCGCCAGACTTGTCAAGCTGTGTTGCCTAGTGTGATTTGCGCCCGACTGTCGTGAAGCAAGGCGCCGATGTGTGACAGGGGCTCAAGCCAGTCGCGGGGCTCGTCGTCGCAGCAATCATGGCGCCGAAGAAGGCCAAGGCAAAGGCCAAGGCCGCGGCTGCGGCTGACGTGGTGCTGCACATGGTTCATGGTCCAGCGGTTCCGCCGCCGCAGGACAATCTGAACATGGAGTACCACCATGAGCTGGAGCAGGCGGTGCAGGAGATTTTGGCCTGTCCAACCTTCGCCGACCTGCCCTCTGCAGACCCAGTTGGAATCTCTGGGACCGCATCTGCAGAAGATGCTGGGTGGAAGGCTCGCTGTTTGCAAAGAGGGTCACCAACTTAGATTGAAAAGGCAAAAAGGGCTCAAGAAGAGCAAATTCAACTTTTAACAGTCGCTGATTGCTTCCATCCGGGCTTTAATCACATTTCCATTTGCAGTTCTAGGAGAGTTGGCTTTCTTATCTGGAGCCAATCCTAACTCGAAGCTGTTGGAAGGCTAGGGTGCCAGCACCCTGGGCTTCCAACAGTCCGGACCGGTCGGGACTGTTGGAAGGGCTCCTTTTTGCAAACACGAAACTGTTGGTAGGCTAGGGTGCCAGCACCCTATGCTTCCAACAGTTTCGTGTTTGCAAAAAAGAGCCCTTCCAACAGTCCCGACCGGTCCGGACTGTTGGAAGCCTAGGGTGCTGGCACCCTAGCCTTCCAACAGTTTGAGGCTTTTTTAGATCAAAAAAAAATAATTTTTATAAAGAAAATAATTTCCAGATTTCGGCAGTTTCGCAAAAGTTTCTGAGCTGTCGTCCCTGACGAGGCCACTTTCAGCGCGGAGGCCTACCAGGCCGCAATGCAGACGGCTGGGGTGTACGAGGCCGCCGGCAACATCTTCTGGCTGAACCTCCGCGGGTCCGCGACGCCTGGCGTCCCGATTAATGCAACCGCCGTCAAAAACCTCCAGCGCTCCCACTTCAAGGGTCCGGCGCACTTCGACGGCTCGGTGGCTGTGGCAGTGCCGAAGAATTTGGCCCTTTCCTTTGGCAACCTACGGAGGGTGTCGCCTGAGGAGCCAGAGCACGCGATGCTCTTCGCCGTCCGGGACGCCATCCGGGCAGGGGAGGCTGAGAAGACACTCAGGAGCTGGAGGTCAAAGCTGCTGAGTGTCACGATCCGCTTTGAGATCATCGAGACAGAGCAAGACATGTTCTTTCGAGCAGTCCGGGCACCTAGCTGTGGCGGCCGTTAAACATGTTTAATCCGGTGTCTGCAGGCTGCAGTCATATATTATTTGACGCCACGCGCAAAAACACCCTTACAAGGTCAACCTCCGCAACAAGGTCATCGAGGAGTACGAAGCCTTGGTGCGAACGGCAGTGGGCCGTGTGTTCGAGCTGGTCGCCTTTCGCTCTTCCATGCAGGCCTCGGGCGTGTCTGGCGCAGAGGAGCTGTTCAAGGCGTGGGAGGCCAATGTGAGGCAGACGCGCTCGCACTTGGCGGAGACAGTGACGCTCAACTTTGTCGAGACAGCCTTCAAGGTCTACGACAACTTGCTGGGCGACAAGAAGTTGCGGGCCTCAGTGATGCGCATTGAGGAGCGCTATGGCAAGATGTCACCGTGGGTGTGGATGACCAACTTGGATGCGGTGGTGCTCAAGAGCAAGACTCCGCAGCTCATTGAGTGGGTACTTCTCATGGTGGAACACCTTCTCTTGACGGAGCAGATGAGCTGCAAAGATTTCACGAAGCGCACCCTGATACCACAGAAGCAAAAAGGCTTGCTTGATCTGTGGGTCTTCAAGAACGACCTCATGCGCTACATGGTGAACAACCTCCTGCCCAAGATTGAGCTTACCGCTGCGCAGCGGGAGGTGCTGGCGTCGCTGACCGTGGCAGAGGAGTTGCGCAGCAAGAACAAAAACAAGCAGTGGCAAGGAACTCTCCCCGAAAGCGCCAGGCTTTGGGTCACGTTCCTGACCAACGTGGTCTTCGGCGTGGGCTCTGATGGATGTTTGAAAACCACCTTGAAGGCGACGAGTGACATCAATGAGTTCATTGCCAACAATACTGCTGTGGCTGAGGCTTTTTCTGAAGTCGAAGAAAAGGCCAGAGCTGAGCAAGGTCGGCCGGAACAAGCCTCGGGCGGCAGCAGCGCAGAAGTTCAAACGCAAGCCTTGTGCGGCGTCGGCGGCATGGAGGTTTCGCTGACTGAGCTGATCACACCCGAGCAGGCGAATCAGGATGACGGGCAGCTGGAGGCCTGGTTCGAGTTTATGAACACCAAGATCGATCAGTTTTGCAAGTTCATCGTCGACCGAGGAGCAGCCAGCATGACCAATAGCGCCCTTGCCGCAGAGCTGAAGGAGAACAGCGTGCTGGCTGAAATAAATGGGCCAGCGCTGCTGCTATATGACTCGAAAACAGCAGGGGAGGCGAGCAGCAACGCAAACGTGAGGCTGCCGCCCTTCCGTGCCCAACACCTGAAGCGAATGGCCCAGGCCTTCATCAAGGCCCGTGACCAGGGGGGCGATGACATCGATCAGCAGGACAGGATTGGAAAGAACATTGCAGGAAAACGTTTGATAGTAGCTAATTATTAATTCCGTTGGCGCAGGAGGAGCTCCGCGACGGCGACATCATCATGGTGCTGGACGGCGGAAGGCATGGAAACGATGGCTCCATCCAGGGCAGCTTCACAAAGATCTCCGGGGAGTCGATCACCAAGGTGAAGCAAGCCTTTACGGTAGTATATGACGAAGAAAGTGTAGGAGAGAGAAGAGAACGCGTTCGCGGGTTTGTGACCTGCACAGAGTCACTCTACGCCTTCACGAGGACAGGCTTAGCCATGGAGCGGCGCCCGCGGAAACACTTTCCAGGCACAACGACGATGGGGTCCGTCATTGGGCCAATTCAGTCGCTGGCATGGACCGACGAAAACTGCTGGAAGGAGCAGCCCAAGGTCAAGAAGGATATTTTCACGGAAAGGGGCTCATCTGTGCCCACATTTTCGGCTCATCTCCGCCCACACAGAAGTGACTCATCTGCGCCCACATTTTCTGACTCATCTCCGCCCACAGATGCTTTCGCCAGTACTTAGAAGTTGATCCTTTGCAAAAAAGGGGTCAGTTTTAGGATCATCTGCGCCCACACTTTGGGCTCATCCCTGCCCACAGCGAGTTTTAGGGTTTAGGGGTTTAGGGTTTAGGGTTATGTTTTTAGGGTTTAGGGTTTTTAGGGGTTAGGGGTTTCAGGGTTTAAGGCTTAGGGTTTAGGGTTTTTAGGGTTTAGGGGTTTCAGGGTTTAGGATCTTTAGTGTTTAGGGTTTAGGGTTTTTAGGGTTAAGGGTTTTTAGGGTTTAGGGTCTTCAGGGTTTAGGATCTTCAGTGTTTAGGGTTTTTAGGGTTAAGGGTTTCTAGGGTTTAGGGTTTTTAGGGTTTGGGTTTCAGGGTTTAGGATCTTTAGTGTTTAGGGTTTTTAGGGCTTAGGGTTTTTAGGGTTTAGGATCTTCAGTGTTTAGGGGTTTTAGGGTTTAGGGTTTTTACGGTTTAGGGTTTGTAGGGTTTAGGGATTTTACGGTTTAGGGTCTTCAGGGTTTAGGATCTTCAGTGTTCAGGGTTTTTAGGGTTAAGGGTTTTTAGGGTTTAGGGTTTTTAGGGTTTAGGGATTTTAGGGTCTTCGGGGTTTAGGATCTTCAGTGTTTAGGGTTTTTAGGGTTAAGGGTTCTTAGGGTTTAGGGTTTTTAGGGTTTAGGGGTTTCAGGGTTTCGGATCTTCAGTGTTTATGGTTTTTAGGGTTAAGGGTTTTTAGGGTTTAGGGTTTTTAGGGTTTAGGGTTTTTAGGGTTTAGGGATTTTAGGGTCTTCAGGGTTTAGGATCTTCAGTGTTTAGGGTTTTTAGGGTTAAGGGTTTTCAGGGTTTAGGGCTCTTAGGGTTTAGGGATTTTAGGGTTTAGGGTCTTCAGGGTTTAGGATCTTCAGTGTTTACGGTTTTTAGGGTTAAGGGTTTTCAGGGTTTAGGGTTTTTAGGGTTTAGGGTCTTTAGGGTTTAGGATCTTTAGTGTTTAGGGTTTTTAGGGTTTAGGGTTTAGGGGTTTAGGGTTTAGGGTTTAGGGTTAGGGTTTAGGGATTTTAGGGTCTTCGGGGTTTAGGATCTTCAGTGTTTAGGGTTTTTAGGGATAAGGGTTCTTAGGGTTTAGGGTTTTTAGGGTTTAGGGTTTTTAGGGTTTAGGGGTTTCAGGGTTTAGGATCTTCAGTGTTTATGGTTTTAGGGTTAAGGGTTTTTAGAGTTTAGGGTTTTTAGGGTTAAGGGTTTTCAGGGTTTAGGGTTTTTAGGGTTTAGGGTTTAGGGGTTTCAGGGTTTAGGATCTTTAGTGTTTAGGGTTTAGGGTTTTTAGGGTTTAGGGTTTTTAGGGTTTAGGATCTTCAGTGTTTAAGGATTTTAGGGTTTAGGTTTTTTAAGGGTTCAGTTTTTTTGGGTTGAGGCTTTTTAGGGTTTAGGGTTTTCGGGGTTTAGGATCTTTGACAACACGCCGAATGAAGCTTCTAAAACACATCCTTGATTCCAGGAGCTCCCCTCATTACATTCAGGGACTTTCGGTGAAAGCGAATCAGTCCAGGCTAGCTGCTCTGTAGCTACACTCCTTCACCACACATGGCTTGAGCATGGCACTGAAAGCAAACAAAGATACAAAACACGCAAATGCCGCACCGTACCGCACGTGACCCATAGTAGACACCTATGGCAGTTTCTCAGAATATTCTCTAAGAGCTGTAAAGCCCCAAAACACCTAAGATCATCTGTGCCCACACAATACTTGTGAGTACTGCATTTGTGAAGTTTAGAGCATAGGGGACCGCCATCAATCTGACTCATCTGCGCCCACCACGCGGGTAGAAACGAGCGGATTCCCGCGGGTACAGACGAGTCGCAAAACGCGGGTACAGACGAGGGGCCTACCAATTTTCACCAAGGAGCACAAGGTCCTGGTGGGGGGAGCGGTGGAGGCAACTGCTGCCCAAGCTACGAAGCCAAGCTTCCCCGACGACTCAGAGCCAGTCTTCTGGCATTATAGCCCGCCTGTGCTGTTCAGCGAACTTTTGCACAACTTTCGCCCCATGGTGGTGGTGCGCGGCAACGAGACGGATCACTGCATGGCCATGGAGTGCATCAAGGCCAAGATTCCGCTGGTGTCAATCTGCTTGAGCGAAACCCACAAGGAGGCCCTCACTGCTCAGGTGAAACGACGCTTGTGGAAGGCCATGCAGACGGAGAGCGTCCCGGAAGTCTACGAGCCCACCTGGCAAAGTTGCTCTCTGAGTCGTCATCTGACGGCACGTCAAAGAACCAGAAGAAGACGAAGCCAGAGGCCAAGAAGCGAGCCAAGAAGGCAGAAGAGGGCGAGGACGACAAGGAGGCCAAGACTGAGGAGACGGGCGGCGAGCCAGAGCCCAAGAAGCCGAAGAAAGGTGGCCGACCGACTTCGTCGGCCAACGCCAGCGCCGCTGAGACTGCTCGCCAGGCGCTCTTGGCGAAGCTGATGGGCAAATCATCTGAGTGAGGGGTGCTCTGCAATTGAAGTTGGGTCAATTGCCAGTTCAGGTTTTGTTGGCGGCAACGCCGAGATTTGACATTTCAGACACCCAGTCGTGCGCGTTGGAGTTGAAAAAACCTGGGCGCTGTCAATTACTGCCAAAGCTTGATCCTTCAATGCTCACATGTCAATGTGAAGGCAGTTGGGCCACGACGACGCACCACACTTGAAAATTACAGATTCATGTTGCGTGCAAGGCTCCAGCGTGTTGCAAGTTGGCCAGCCATGGATTCTGATGACGAAGAGGGAGGCTGCATTATGGGCTTCAGGGCCCCGCCTGCGGCGAAGAAGGCGAGGGCGAGGGCTGCGCCAAAGGCTGTCAGCAAGGTGAAGCAGATCATTGACAAGGCAAAGGCAAGGGCGAAGCCGAAGCCGAAGCCAACGGCAACTGCGGCAACACCTGTTCTCAAGCGACCGGCCGGCAAGGCCACACGACGGGATGACAGCCATGACGCCAACGAGACGATGAGGAAGGCGCTGCAGGAAACAGCTAAGATCAGCCTGCCGCCGGTGAGGGTGTGCGCCTCTCCCCACAAAGGCTTGCGGGTTGGAAGCTGCTGCTCTGGGTGGGGGTCGGATGTTTTCGCCTTGGAGAATCTGAAGGTCCCGCACACTTTGTGCTTCTGCAGCGACAACGACAGCGCGGTGCGGACCCTGTTGTCACACACACACAGCCACCACCACTTCTTCGAAGATTGCACCCTCCCTGAGTTCATCAACGGCGCCCCGTCGGTGGATGTGTTTTTTGCTGGCTTTCCCTGCCAGCCCTACAGCGCAGCAGGAAGCCTCTTAGGGCTAGATGACCATCGGTCATTGCCGCTGTATGCCATCTTACACTACGTTGTCAAGCGCCTTCCAGGCATAGCCCTACTTGAAAACGTACTTGGCTTGCTTCGATTTCACAAACCTGTTCTGGAATCGATCCTGCTGGTGCTGAGCGGCCTGAAGGACTCAGCTGGCCAGCCAGCGCACCACGGCAACAACGGCGCTATTTCAAGGTTGCGTTCGTCGTTCTTTTTCAATTGATAATAGTTCATTTCGCTTATTTTTGTTGTTCTTGCTCGCAGGTACGACGTCAGCTGGAAGGTGCTGAATGCCAGGGTCCACGCAGGTGTTCCTCAAAACCGAGAGCGAGTTTTCGTGGTGGCGATCAAGAGGTCCATTCAGAAGCGGCCCATGGTGTGGCCCCAGGAAAGACCAACGCAGCCGCTCTCGAAGTACATTGACTTGAGCTTGCGCGGGGCCGCCTCGGAGTTGGACAAATTGCCCCGTGGGGCCCGCAAGAACTTGGACGGAGCGCTCAAGACCATTCGCCAGAGAGGCGGTGACCCACAGAAGGATCTGTACGTGATCGACTTGAGCCCCTCCCAGGGTCGTGGCCCGAGCTTCATGAAGGATATTTGCCCGTGCGTGACTGCCTCGCGAGGCAAAGGCCAAGGCTTTTGGCTGAGCAGCTTGGGCAGGTGGACGAATCGCACCGAGCTGCTGGGGTTGATGGGCGTCAGCCGCGCTCGCCTTCCTGAGAACGTGATCTCTGAGGCATCTTTGGGCAAGATTGCCGGGAACGTGGTTCCGGTGCCCCTAATGGAGGCTGTGCTAGAAAGTTGCTTGCGGGCAACAGGCGCGCTGCCTTAGTTTAGCTCGGGGATTGCCAAGAGGAAAATAGCGGTTAATAGCGCCCCTCACTCATATAATTCACTAAAAGACGACAGCTCAACGATGGCTCTCCTGCCTGTGGCTGTGCAAGGTAGGGACTGACCCGTGCCGCCGCCAAGTGGAATAAATAGAATGGCCACGCGCTTGCAGTGTGGTTTACAAAATGCTGCAGAAGCACGACACTGCTGAAAAAGCAGCTCGGTAACAGTAAACAATTTGAAAATGTAGTCACAGGAGTTCTTTCTCAGGAGTTCTTTCTCAGGAGTTCCTTGTGTTCAGATTGCCCCGCCTTGCAGGCGCAGCGCGCGTGCTGTGGCCGGCGCGGCCGACGCGCTGCCTTGGCGCTGCTTGGCGGCAGGGGCGACAGCAACTACAACAAACAGCAGGCGCAGCCAAGTTACCAGCGACATCGCAGCCGACAAACAACAACTGAGGAAATCTGACAACAGCAGGAGCGGGAAGAAAGGGCGCAGAAAGACAAATAGGAACAGAAGCAACAACAACAACAACCACCACCACCACCCACCCACCCACCCACCCACCCACCCACCCACCCACCAACCAACCAACCAACCAACCAACCAACCAACCAACCAACCAACCAACCAACCAACCAACCAACCAAACCAACCAACCAAACCAACCAACCAACCACAACGACGACGACGACGACAACGACGACGACGACGACGACGACGACGACGACGACGACGACGACGACGACGACGACGACGACGACGACGACGACGACGACGACGACGACGACGACGACGACGACAACAACACGACAACAACGACAACAACAACAACAACAACAACAACAACAACAACAACAACAACAACAACAACAACAACAACAACAACAACAACAACAACAACAACAACAACAACAACAACAACAACAACAACAACAACAACAACAACAACAGGACCACAACAACGCAACAGCAACAATGACCAGCGGAAGCAAGAACACAACATCATGGGTGGCTTGCTTCAGTTGTTACTGCTTGAGCATTTTGCAGAAGTGCCTCACTTTCTAGTTTCGTGCTGGAGAAGCACATGCCTGCTGAATAAGCAACGCATCATGTCGATTTCGCAAATTAAATGTGTGCTGGAGAAGCACATGCCTGCTGAATAAGCAGCGCATCATGTCGATTTCGCAAATTAAATGTGTGCTGGAGAAGCACGTGTCTGCTGAATAAGCAGCACGGATGCCCCCAACTTTGACAGGGGAACATTGATTTTGAGCCGCCTTTCCTTTCCGGCCCAGGCACACAGCTGGTATGGACACTGGACATGCAACATGACTGGACACAATGATTGGACATGCGCTGCAACTTGACTGGGCTGGCAACTGGACAACATGGATTAGGCATACACAACCTAGCACTAGTCGTAGCTTGGTACTTTCCTTGGCGAGTCTGCAAGCCATGGCCTCGCCGAGGCCGGCGAAGGACGGGACAGTGCCGTGGAAGGCACCGCCGCCTGGTCCTCCACCTGGTCCTCCACCTCGTCCTCCTGTCTGCCGCTCCTCTCGGCGGCGCTCCTCCACCTGACACTCCTGGACCTGGCGCTCCTGAACCTGGCGCTCCAGCTGCTGGACCTGCAGCGGCGAAGGCTTCGGGCTTTGTCGGCAGACTGAGCTCGGTGTCGCCAATGGTGGCCGCCGCCGCCGATGCCAAGGGCCCCGGCAAGGCGCAAATCAAGCGCCTTGTGGAGCGGGCGTTCGCGGCACAGATCGAGGACTTCAGGGGCATAGTCAACGATCTGCGGCGCGGGCAGGATGCGCAATCTGAAAGGCTCGCGGCCTTGCACTCGCAGCTGTCGACAGTGCGGCTGGGCGCGGGCAGGGATGTCGCGGCCCTCTGGGGTCGCGTCGGTGAGCTCCACACCTCTGTCGGCGAGATCAAGGCAGCTCTCGGCCTCCCTGGCGGCGCTGTGCCTGGAGATGGCAAAGGCGGAGGTGGATCTGCAGTGGACGCCGGCCCTGGCGGTGGATCGTCTTCCAAGGGCGTTGGCGGCGGTGGATCTGCGAAGGGCGACGGTGGTGGATCAGTCAAGGGCGGCAGCGGTGGCGGCGGATCTACTGAGGGCGCTGGTGGTGGATCTGCGAAGGCGGGTGCTGGCGGTGGCGATGGCGGATCTGCTAAGGCTGGCGGTGGGTCAGCCAAGGCCGACGGTGGCGGCGGGTCTAAGGGCGCTGGCGGTGGATCGGCTGTGGTCCTGGTGGCAAAGGCCAAGGGCGATGGCGGCGGTGGACCTGCGAAGGCAGGTGCTGGCGGTGCGAAGGGCGACGGTGGTGGATCTGCAAAGGCTAAGCCTAAGGGCGACGGCGGCGACGGCGGTGGTAAGGGCGACGGCGGTGGATCTGCAAAGGCTAAGGGCGATGGCGGCGGATCTGCAAAGGGTGATGGTGGATCGGCAAAGGCTAAGCCTAAGGGCGACGGCGGTGGATCTGCAAAGGGCGGCAGCGCCGGTGAAAAGGGCGTTACGTCAAAGGCGGGCGGAGGTGCCAAGGCCAAGGCGGGCGGCGCGGGTGGTGGATCTGACGGTGGCAAAGCTAGACCTCGTGGCACGGCTGGCTCTGGCGGTGGCGGCGGAGGCGACAGAGGGATCTGGATGCGGAGCGGCGCTGACAACCGGCGGCGGCGGAGCAGCGGCAGCGACAGTGACGATCAGCCGGACAAGCGGAGGCGATCGTCCTGGCCATCCTGGCGATGATGAGGATCTGAAAAAATAATCTTGGGGGGAGGTTTGTTTGGTGATTTGTTTTGTTTTTTAATTAGGCTGGGGCGTGTCATTGGGATTAAATTAGCAACTTCCGAGTTCTGGGGCAGCCCCTGCCAGGCGGGCGGCGGTGGCAGTGAGCTGGACGCGCTGGAGAAGCGCGCGCAAAGAAAATTTGCGGTTGCACGTTGTCGTCGGTTGTCACGCACAGCGCTGAGTAAGCGCGTGTGTTTCAAGTGCAAGCCCTGAATAAGCGCAGGCGCTTTGAAATGCTGCCAAGGGGTTGGGGCAGGGAGTGCATTTGCCTTGACAGCCACTCTGTGCATCCAAGGTTTCTGCCTGCCAGTGCGGCTGTCTGCGGCGCTGGCTGCTTGGCTGATGGGAAGGAGCCTGGGCCTGATTAGCGGGGTGCTGCAGTAAACTCAGGGCTTCTTGACTGACTTGCTGAAAGTCGCAAACCGGCACACGGCGCTGCGAAAGCGCACCATGGCGCTGAATAAGCGCTATGGTTGTAGGCTGCAAAAGTGTTGTGAGCCATGATGTTTTGCTTGGAGATCCGTTTTTTGTGTTGGAGCTTGCGCTGGGAAGTGAGTTTGTCAAGGGCCAGGTTGTCCATTGTTTTAGTCAATGGAGAAACGTGTCGAGCGATGAGTTTGAATTAAATTTGCGACAGCGTTCGGCTCCCGGTGGCTGTCGAAGCAACACAAGCAGCAAGGAAGCAAGGCAGAGGCAGCAAGAGAGGAGTAGGCTTCAAGCAAGCTACGACAACGTCGTAACGCTGGGCTCTGGCCGGCCATGGCAGCGGAAGACCACGGCTGGTCAGGCTGGGGCGGCGACGACGATCACTGGGGCGGCGGCGGCGGCGGAGGCTGGTCTGGTGGCGGTGGGTGGGGTGACAGTCATGGTGGAGAAGGCGGCGGCTCCAGCCGGGGTGCCAAAGGCAGCCGGGGAAAAAGCTGTGTCGCAGTCGCAGGCCAGGCGCCTGGACACGAGGGTGATGGAGCGGCAGATTTCTGACTTTCGGGAGTCGCTGGCTGAGCTGCGGCGCGAATGGGCTGGCAAAGCACAGGTGCTGGCCGCAGCGGAGGCACTGCAGAACAAGGTGGCCGTTTTGGAAAGACAGGCTGACCGGCTGAGCCATGAGCTCCGTACTATGACGGATGTCATGAACCAGAGGTTCAACAAGCAGGCGGAGATGCTCAGCACCATGCAAAACCGGCTGTTCGCGCTAGAGACGTCCATGTCGGCCTCGAAAACGAGCATAAATCTGATCGAGGACGCCCACAAAAGAATGGCAGAAGCGGTCCGCACGCTGGGGGAGGAGCAGACCACTTCCAAAAAACGCCGGACATGATCGCGGCGTTTCGAGCTCTTCCTGGCCATGTACTGTTTGAGCCAAAAGCGAGAAAACAAGAGTGTCTGCGTCTTGTCGGTGTTGGGTTGGCTGAAATAACCCAAGTGCAGCCCATGCTGAGAAAGCAAACAAACGCTGCAAAAGCGTGCCCCCATCAACTTCAGAAAGCAAACGCAGGCAATTCGCCTGTTTGTCTCGAATCTCAGGTGCTGCCCAGCGTCGCGGGCGGCAGCAAGCAGCGGTGGTGTCACTGCTGCCCTCCCGCAAGCCTGGTGTTCCAAATGTTGGCTTACTTTTCGGTGACGGGATTCCAGCCCGGCAGCAGCCTTGTTGGAACTCCATCACTGAAAGACTAAGCCAACACCTGGAACACCTTGCGGTGGCGAGGGCAGCAGAGCTCCCATGCAGCAACTTGGCAGAACTGGGTGGAGGGGTGCAGCGCTCTGAAGTTTGCGCCAAAGACGGCGTTTTTTCTTCTTGCTTCAGTCTTGCCAGTTGTTCTTAAACAACACTTGATTGAGCCAGCTTGGGTGTGACTTTGCACCTGGAATACGAAGAGTGACCCATCTCATCAAAAAATTAGGGAGCCTTGCCAATTTGCAACAGGCAGAAATGGATCAGCTTAGTGGTCCAAATTGGCACTTATTCAGTGCACTTCAGTGTCTCAAGGCGCTTTTTCAGCGCTTAAAGGAGCTTCTTCAGCGCCGAGTGACTCGTGGTGCTTGCCAAGTGCTGACTGGCGCTTTTCCAGCGCCGCGCTTGTTCAGCGCCTTCAGACTAGCGCTTGTTCAGCGTTTCGCCGGCGCTTGTTCAGCGCGCGCTTGTTCAGCGCTTTCACCGGCGCTTGCTCAGCGCCTGTCCCCGCCTTGGCCCGTCTGACTGACAGCCCCTCCTCATCATCCCGGTCGGCTTGTCCACGAAGTCACTCCAGGGCAAATGGCTTACTAGTATTATCGGGGCACGGTAGCTGGAAACTAGGCATAACATAAAGTTTAGATATTTACGGTTTCAACCAAGTCTCAAGAGGCATGAACCCTGAACTGAAGCGAAACTGCTGCAGCTGGAATCTGGAAGGTGCGTGTGCGCACATTTGATACTGATTGAAAGCAAGGCGGAGCCGGGGTGACATTCATTATGCCATTTCCGGGCGCGTGTGTATGTTGTTTGGTGTTGGCGCACACATGCATACATTGAATTGTGTATTTTTTTAAGCTACACCGTATGCATGGTGTCTGAAGCTCCAGATGCCTGACCAAATATTAAACTATTGGAGCTTTAGCTGAAGAAAAATTAAAAAATTATTGCTAACCACAAGCAAGCCAATGGGCAGGTTCCTGAATTCCGGTTGCCGGCTGGGCTCTTGGGATGGGAATGTGGATAATCGTGGATCTATGTCCAGCCATCATCTTTTTTTGGAGGGGAGTGGAGGGAAGGTTGTGAAGGTGGCTCTTTGGGAGACCTGCACTTGCCACCTAGATCTTAGTTTCTGATTAAATGGTCGACTTGGGCTACCAGGGTTTAGAGAGGTTAATCGGGGAGATAACTCTAGCTTCACATGGAGTTTCCCTCGGAAAGTTTCAGGGAGTACCTTCCTAGCTGTCATAAGGCCTGTGCACTTCCATGTTCCATATAGGCGGTCTGCAATTTAGCTATCCTCTTTGCAATCGAAGTGTGCTCAGTTTTTCTTTTTACACCATGATCATGGTCATCCAAAACCCACCTATGCACTTTCCTATTGTGGGCTGGTCACGAGGGACTTGGGGGGGTAACCGGGTATTTCGTCACATGCGAGCCCCGAGCCACTGAGCCACATCAAGATGGAGCTGTTTCAGCAGGCCTGGATGGCTCTCCCTGCCGACCCGACGCCAAAATACAAGGGCTGGTCGCAGGTTTTCATTCGGAACCATCCCATCCCTAATAAACACACATGGGGGGGGGGGTTGGGGGTAAGGAACACGCACATCGGAAATAGAGGGCTTTTGAGTTTAATCACCGACCTCAGTTGGAGGTTCCCCAAAAAGAATGCGGGCCATTGGTGGGCAAGCTCGAAGGCCAAATCCAGCCAGCCATGCGGGGAAGAGACACCGCCCGTTGTTTGCATGATTGTTTCGCCCAGTCAGGTCCTGGTAATTATGACCCACTTGTTGCCCTTCAGGCGATTCCCTGCAAATCAAAGAGGCACTGTTCCCCATGGAATCGCGGGGAGGGCACTGGAATTTTCAGGGGGCTGATTATCCAAGTACTGACCCTGGAAGAACGTCATGCTTCTGCAGAAATGCGCAGGGACAGCGCAATGTAAGGATAGCCGAGGGACAACCCAATCCATATGCCATGAAAAACAAACCAGTACCATGATCAGCCTTCAAACCTCAAGAAAACAGAAGTAGATCACCAGTCGCATCGTTAACAATTTTCTCACAATGGGTTTGTCTCAAAGGAAGGGACCCTTCAAATTGTTGGCATTCCACTAGTGTCCCTTTTAAAGAACTAATACCTTCGGACATCCATGGCCTCCATTTCGCGCGTCGGCCCACCCCTGCCTCCTCCTCTTCCGCACGCACAAAGGCGCCCAAGGACATGGCACTGCGAGATAGGGAGGCAGCCCTCAGCGAACCGCGTGAATCGCGCATCGGGAGGTTTACTCAATTTTCTAGATTTCCCAATTGGCAACCTGGGTCGACGGTCTGTCAAATAGGGTTCCGTCTTCTTAAACGTCACAACAAAAGGATCTCGCCTGAACGTGGCAGCCCACACCAAAAAAGAGCATGTAGGGACTATGGCTTTTGCTTGGTTGGACGGAAAGGCTGATGCCAGCTTTCTTTTAAGGAACTTTGGGCGAGGTTGTTCCGCCACCAGCCGCCAAGCTGCATCTTCGAGCTTTGCCGGACATTCGCTGACCTGCACCGACGCTCAGGTACCCGCGTCCCTTTGCCTGCTGTGCACGTGCCGTCTGCGCGAAGTCTCCCTGTTCAAGGAATGAAGTATTGATGTTGACGTGCAACGTTATCCAATGAGACACATAATTGCACGTCAGGCACTTAACTGTTCAGGGAAAACACCTTGATTAATCAAATACCAACATCAAGCTTGGATGCAGAGTCTCCTAAGTAGTGAATTCAGTCCATCCAATGCTACGATGCTACGCGCCTTTTGGATGAACTTCGGCTGCCTGCCTGCGCCAACCTACGGTGCAACGCCGGCCACCCGGCTTTTGCCTTCTTCTTTTTTTGGAGCATATTTTATGGGAGCATAATATGGGTCCAAAACAGGTGGGAGTATAGAACCAAAACAACAGGGCTCCTGTCACACAGGAGCTGTTCTGCAGTATTGTCTCTTCCATCTTTGCTCAAGAAACAGCGTCAGGTGCAATGTCGACTTGGGATTCATAGAACCCTCAAGACAAATCAAATACGGTCCCGTTTTAGGGAAAGGATCCTTTAGCAGGATTCCTTTGTCATTAATAGGCTCTTCTGGATAGAAGAAAAGTAAAAAACGTCCTTGTTGTTCTGTGGTTTGTTCCGGAAGGATAGGAAGGGACCCACCCACCCCACCCCCCGCATGTGTCCCGCATTTTCCAACACAACACCAGGCATAGTCTTTGATGGCCAACCGCTACGTATGGAACCAAGGAGCTTTGCGAAGGAAGGCCGGGGCGACACGCGCCCATCCTGAGACGAATTGGCCAAGGTGCGCGGCTCACCACAATGCTTGCATCCTAGTGTTACCCAATGTGCACAACACTTGAAATCGTGATGAGAAGCCGCGCCCTACGAGCTAAATGCAACATGGGTGATTCTTGCTCCCATGCACACAGAGAAGCTGACCTCTGTCGCCTTGGGCAAGCTCCCATCAATCAGCATAAAAAGGCATGGCCGGCGACTGCCTTTCACCTCTCAAAGTGAACCAAGGCTGTGTTCATGTTAACAGAAACTGCATGGCAATGCTTGGCAGCAACACACAATGTATCATGGACACTACATGAATTAAGCATTGTTGTGATATCCCTGAGGGTGTACCCCGAATGGCTTGAAACGATGTGTATATATAATATATATATATAGCCTTG